TGGAGCCAGACTTCTCTGTGATTTATCTATTGGACAGTGGGTGGCCAAAGGGCACCGTAGGCAAACAGTTATCCAGCTCGATAATTAGGGAGGGAAAAGGCAAACACAAACACACCCAGGTTGACATTCAAAACAAAGTGGAGATTTAACCATGGATTGCTCACTATGCCACCCCGGTTCTCATCTGCCAATCTGCCAGGAAGAAACTATTAGCCAAAAAGAGAAGCAATGTTAGTAATTTATTGGTACAGCTGATGGCAAAAGCACAATTCTGTGTAGAAGGGTGAAGGCCTGAGCTGGGGCCCAGCTTTGTGTTTAAATGATAGCTTGATCTTCTGAAGTCTTTGCCAGGTTTTTCTGTCCTCATTATGAAATGAGGATTGGGGCAAGGTCTTCACTAAGTGCCCTCTATCTCTAAAAGGCCTTGACACTCCAATTCTATTGGTTTCTTTCATTCATTCATTAATGCATATATTTATGTATTCATTCAATGAACAGTAAGCCTAACTGTGGATGAGGTATTGACTGTTGGTGACCAAAATACAGCACAGTCAGTCCATCACAGTGGAAGAAACAACCTTTAGTATTGATTGCTCTCAATTCCTCGGAGGGCAATGATATTCCCAGTTCTGTTTCTAAGGAACAGATGTATTGCTTTCCTCTCAAGGAAAAAAATAAGATGGCTATTGTTTCTAGATGTCTTTCAAACAAATCAAATGTAGATAGCTACACTTTACAACCTGAATACTTAGCTAAGCATTTTAACAATGATTTTTTTCTCCTTCTTAGCCCCACCATTGCCCTCTACCCACTTCATCCCATTCTCATTTCCAGGGCTAGGGTTTGGTTCCTTCTCATAATTTTAATTCAAGTCAATTAAATTCAGTTCTCATTCATGGGGCCTTTCTCAGTACACAGAGTTTATACAATGCAAGGATTATTTTCAAGGAGCTTCCAATCAATCAAGTCTGGGAGACACACATGTAAAACAAGAAATGTCACAATTAAAATGAGTTGGAATAAGAGGCAGTGAGGTTGGACCAGTAAGTGCAGCCACAGAGCTCTGGTTAAACTAAGCAGTAAGGTCCATATTAACCAACCACTCCACATTTTTACAGGTTATCTAGAGGTCTACACTGTCCTAGCCATCTTTGTTTCCAATTTCTTTGTACATATAAATTAACCTAAAATGAATTTTATTTAATCTGCAGCTTACCAACACCTAGAATATGTACATTTTTATCTAAAGGATCAGTGTTGTGATGAAAATGCTTTGCCATTAGAGTCTGAGACTTTAGCTTTTGTTAAGTGATATGTCATTGGGCCAGTTTTTTTAACTAGTTAAAGCTCAGTCTCAGTTATAAAATGGGGACAACATCCCTGTTATGGGGCCGTCCTGAGAATAAAATCAGGTCAGAGCTATGCATAACTTCTCCTTGGTATCACTATTTCCTAGGCTTCCTACCCCTATCCAAACTGATGGTGACTCCTTGGCAAAGTGGCCAGTGCCCTCTATGAAAGGCTATTTATATGCCGTCCTCATCATCAGTTTCAATATAATAGTTGTCATCTCATCATTAATGAGACTCCAGACAGCTATTTGGACAAGTTCTCCCCACGCTTTATTTATTTTCCAACCCTATTATTGACTTCTTTAAAAAAGAAAAGGAAAGCCTTTGGAAAAATTAGATAGAATTGGTCTAATTCTCATAAATAGGAATGAGCACAAATCTACAGAACTGAGAGCACATCTACATCGTTACAGAACCACGCACACCCAGCAGAGGCTGCAAACAGGACCCCAGTCTGGTTTGCATTTCTTACCTGTTCTGTCCTCTTCTTCCTTCCCTTTCTCTCTGCTCATCCCCCTCCTTCTCTCCCTTTCCCCTTTGAGTGTTAAAACTGTCTACCAGATATCCAGTGAAAATTTCCTTCTAGCAGACCTTGTTTTCATGAAAGACACCCACTGATCCTAGGCATCTGGGAGGAAGAGCCTACCATCCTGTGTAGTTAGAAAGGTGGGATGCTCTCACACCTCTGAGTCTGCTCTGACCCCGAGACAAAATCCAGTATGCACATAACCACTTGCACTATTGTGAAGCCATATGTTTGTTGGCTTAATTCTTCAGAAGAAAGACCCATAACACTAAATTATCATTCGCCAGACTTATGATAAAATCAGCTTGAACAGATGTGACTACAGTTCACCGAAGTGCATGGCTTGATACTAATACACATTAAATCAAAAGAAGAACACGTGTGATTTCAATTTAGGATGTTGAAGATTAATGCACTGGAGAGTTTACTGGGGACACTGGTTTGCCTTCTCCCACAGGAGGGAGAAATGACACATTCAGGGCAAGGAGAATGGTTGCTTTCTATCGAACAATCAGTTATCAGCTTCTAACAAAGCTGTACATGGAAAGCAATCCTGCCTTACGCTTCTGTCCACCTCCAGGACCTCTGAGTTTCGCCAGAGATTCAGGACAATGACATCTGACAGTGGCCAAAAGTGGTAAAATGGACACTCTGGCCCCAGGAGAAGAGGTCCGCAGCACTGTGGGGTGGGCAATACCTCCCAGGCGGCTCTCTGGTTGCTCGTGTGCTCTGAGCACACACCCCACAGAGTGCCTTCATCACAATAGCCCATGTGTGACCTCTGGAAAAGTCCTTGAAAACAGTGAAACAAGAGTCTTAGTTGAAATCTGGAATCCATTCCAGCTTTTACACAGGAAGAAAATTAGGCATAGAACAACAAAGCCCATAGTTCTGAGAAACCTGTGGAGGCTCTGGCTGACATTAATATCGTGGAAGATTTTTTTTCTTCTCTACTTTGTATTTCATAAAAACTTTTCGTCTAAGCAACCCAAACCTGCTAGAAAATATTGTACAGTGAGTAGGTAACAATAACTAGTTTCTCCAGTGAATAAAGTGAGCAGAAATCAGAATAGGGATGCTGAGTAATGTATTAAAAGTCATTTACTTAACGTTTTTCCAAGCTACTAGGTAAATGCTATTCTTCCAAAATATAAGTGGCCAATATTACAATTTTTCCCTTTGGATGAACAGGAATCCAAATTTGTATTGGCAATAACGGGGTTAGGGGTGGGAGTCTGGAGCAGAGGGAAAAGCTGTATCAACTCCATGATACAGTTCATTTGCCCAGACATCATGGATCTGGAAATATTCATTCACTTAGAACATGAATCAGCAGAGGAGTATGCCTGCTCAAAATTTAACTCGACAAACATTTGCAGGGTAACACTATTTTTATAAGCACAGCCCAATTCCCTTTTGTCTCCTGCTGATATTATTCACTATTAATCTGCCCTATCATATATTCTTATTTCATACATATAAATAACTGTAAATCTGGACTCCCTTTGGAAGCATTTTCTTTCTTTGCCAGCAAGAAGAGGGATAGGACACTTCTGAGTTGAATGGTGGCATACAATCCAGGAAAATTCAACTGGCAGGGAAATTTCATTTGGAATTGTGTTTTAGAATCTCCTTCAAGTTTGTCTGGTGGGGTCTCTCAAAAGAGATACAGACCCTGAACTAAACTAGATGATTCAGTAATAATCCGGCTGGAGTAGCATTTAATGCTTTAGACCCAGAACACTTATTCATACACATGAATAACTTAATTTTGTTTCTTTCTTAAGTACCTTCACAGTTCATTTTTTATTTTCCTCTAAAAAAATGTAAATGGCATTACTCTGGTCTCCAAAACACATGCCAGTTTGGATTTTACCCTGCCAGCAATTATTTGGTTTGGCTCAGCAGGGCTTGAGTTGAAAAAATATTTGCCGATTCCAAAAAGATTTAACGAGCTTTGCTGAAGATGCTGGTGCCATTTGGCATGTCACAGGGACTGTGGCCCAGCAAAGAGACCTCTCCCAACCACAGACTTTATGCGCCTGGGGTAGCCAACACTGGGAGTTCAGTTGCTTCCTTGGGTTAAGAAGGTGCAAGTCAAATGAGAGAAATTTCCAAGAGAAAGTGACCAAAGCCAGCATCCAAAACACTTGCTGCCATTAAAGACAAAGTCCCTGGGTTTTGATGGCTAATTTTCAGAGATGTCAATAACATCCTCACCTCAGCCTTCCGACATGGTCCCTACGCTGTCACACGGCAAAGCAAAAAAATTTCCAACTTCTAGCAAAAGCTATCTTTACCCAATATCAGATACAAAAAATTTGCTGCTATGTATTTTGTTGGCATCTGACACCTTACCAACTGTGGTGTCAGAATGTATATAAAAACTGAATTATTCCTTCAAGTAATTTTGCTAAATGTAACGAGTAAGTTGACCTTATATGGCCAAGACCAACAGGCATTGCTTTTATTAGTATTTAGTAGGATATAAATACATGAATCTATCACCTTGATTGGAAAGAATGACTTCAGTGCACATCAATCTCATATGTTAAAAGTGACTAAATGTCACCTGAAATCGCACGTTTCAATGTGAACTGCAGTTACCCCATGAGGAAACAAGACTCTGGTCTTTTCAAATCAATGTCACATCTGATGACTATAACACAAAAAATGAAAATATTTTCGTACTACTTGTGTGCTTAAAAATTACATCTGTTTTGGTGGCTATGGGGACAGGAAGAGTGGCACTGAAATGGTGACTACCTTGAAGGAGAGAAACTCTGGATTGTTTTTGTTAATTTCAGTTCCTGAACAAATATACACATATTTGGGTGTATCCCACCTCAACTCTTATGGATATCCCCAAACTCCTAAAAGTCCCTTTCACTAAGGCCACACACTGATCCAGTGCTTGTTCCATGAGCATCCCACGCCAAGGTTCAGTAACTAATAGCCTCAAAAAGAGGGCCAAGTTCTGCACTGCTTTTCCACAGAAAGACCTGTTCATTGAAAAGAGAGACGGAGCCATCTACCTCATTTAACTGGAGTTTGGAAGTCAGAGCAGAAATCAAAAGAAAAAGTCATGCAGTAAGAAAAGGATGATCATAATTGTTATTTACCATCTTAGCTTCTGAATGCATTGGCTGGACTTGGGGAGAAGCACAGGGATTGCTGAGATTTGGACCTTGCATTCCCAGGAGGTTGGAGTTCACTGACATTTGTCTCTCCATCTAAGAGAAAGGAAAGTAACAGAATCAGAAGTCTGAGAAAGGCAGTTGAGATCATAGACAAAGCTGCATTTCTCTTTCAAATGGACTGTGTAGAATTTCTGTGAATAAATCCAGGGAAAACCTGCGGTTTGGTAAAGGATAAGCAAGGTACTCCTAAGTCTTGAACTCAGGCACAGAAAAGAATCATCCAAAGCCGCGTGTTCTAGAGAATAAGCCCAATGCCAAAGAGAATGACATTGTGATGGGAAATCATTTCCAAACAAAAGCAGGCAATACTTCCACAAAAGCATGCAACACGTCCACAAAGCGTTCACTTTGTGAACACTCTGAATACTACTCATCAAGTTTATTTTCATAGCTGCTGCTGCTGCTAAGTCGCTTCAGTCATGTCTGAATCTGTGCAGCCCCATAGACAGCAGCCCACCAAGCTCCGCCGTCCCTGAGATTCTCCAGGCAAGAACACTGGAGTGGGTTGCCATTTTCTTCTCCAATGCATGAAAGTGAAAAGTGAAAGTGAAGTTGCTCAGTCGTGTCTGACTCTTAGCGACCCCATGGACTGCAGCCTACCCGGCTCCTCCGTCCATGGGATTTTCCATTTCATAGCTATAAAGAGAATAACACATGCCTAGAAAAATGCTGGAAGGATATAGAATATATCAAATGGTTATCTCAAGTTATCTGTGGCTTTTGTGTTCTCCCCAAATTTTATACTGCAATGTGAATCATTTTAGCAGCAAGAAAAAAGTCATTTTAAAAGCCACCCTCTTAAAGATGATGTGTCTTCCTGTCACTGTAACTCATGACCACCATCAAAATGGTCCAGCAGAGGTATTTGAGCTGCTCCCCCTGACATATCTTCTCTTCCCTGTTAACCTTGTCTGACTCTACACAGCAGCAGTTTTAGGCCTCACAGAAGGGTTAGAGCTTTGGAAGGTAAAGAAAGCAGGGTGGGTACTGAAGACACGTGATCAACACCCCCCACTGTCCTGCTGGCCTGTCCTTGTGTCTAGAATTAACATTGATTATCAATATCTGGATTGAGTTCTGGCTTTTGTCTCCAGGGTCTCCCTGTTAAAAAAATGAATATAGTAAAAAAAATCTCTATTTCAGTCAGAAAGACTGTGTCTAACAAACATTTTCCATTTAGTAGACCGACTGAAGCAACTTTGCAGCAGCAGCAGCAGCAGCAGAAAACTAACACTTTTTGAAGAACAGGAATTATGCAAGTGTACTTAATACTGAAATCAAACGGAAAGTAATTAGACTTTCCTCAAGAGAGAAATAGTTTCTTCAATGCAAAAGTTTTCCCATTTGCCAAAGGATGAAATGGAAACAATGTTCGGAAATTTTAGGGAACCAGGTTTCTGCTCAAAGTTAGCCTAGGTAGTCTTAGAAAATAGAGTTCCTTTTCAAAGGAGCTCATCAAACAGTGGAGGATAGAAACCTCACAGATAAGAGTCGAGAGTAATAGTTAAACAAAATGACCCTTTGAGGTCCCTTCCATTGTTGAGATGATCACTGCAATTCCTGCTGTGTCCAGCCCAAGGGCGGGGTTGTCATTAGGATACCAGTGTGTGGATGAGCAGACGTACTCGCTAAAAGCCTTGTCATGAATGATTGGGGCACATTTCCTATCATGTCACAGTGAAGTACCATCAGCCATACCTTAGCCAGAATTAGTTTATCAGTTATCTAGCAGTGTATGGCTTTGTGAAACTGTTGCAAAAGGAGCTATTTAATGATGGTGAACTTTCTAGACCACTCTAGAAAAACCTTTTGCACACACCAGTTCAGCAAAATAAAATAGAGTTGTCCTTCAATATTCCCCAGGGATTGGTTCCAGACCCGCCCCCCCCGACACTAAATTCCAAGGTCCCAAGTCTCATAAAAAAGGCATAGTAATTGCATAAAACTTATACACACCCTTCCCTATACTTTAAATCATCTCCAGATCTCCTAAAACACCTAATACAATGTAAATACTTTGCAAATCCAAATGATGTTTTTTGGAATTGTCTGGAATTAATACACAAACACACACACACACACACACACATATATATATATATATTTTTCAATCTATGGTTGGTTGAATCTGCAGATGTGGAACCCACAGGTATGGAGAACTGGCTGCATTCACTCTCATATTTCCCTAAATATTCAAGCAGTCTGGGTATTCTAATTTTTAAAATTATTTTTTAAATCATGGTAAAATATACATAACATAAAAATTACCAGTTTAACTCTTTTTAAGTGTACAGTTCAGTGCCATTAAGTACATTTGTGTACTCGAATTGTTAAGTCATGGAGATTTCTCTAAAAAATGCTTATTACTTATAACTTCCACTTTCCAGAGGCTGGGGGGTAGGAGAGTGGGATTAGCATTTGACCCTTTATTCCAATTAGTGACCTTCTCCCAAAGAGAAATACAGTCCAAAGGAGTTTCTGCTTTCAGTTTTCGGAAGGAGGATTGTTCAGAAGGACACATGATTGTCCAGGGTTTTCCATCATGCTTTGGAGCCACCATTTTACAAAGAAGTGAGAGTAGCCTGCTTTCTTCCTCTGGATTCAGAGTCAGCCATGCTGCCTACTTTTTGGAAAAGTTACAGGCTATGACTGTTTCTACCTTATGACTCACAAATTAAACAGAATACTAAAAACAGGCTGGTTTCTCTATCTTAAAAAAATTGCATTTTTCCACCTAAGTAATTATATGGGGTTACCAAGAGCCTCTTCAAAACAACTATTTGGTGCTTTGTGCTAATAAATGTGCTAATAAAAGCCCATGAGTGTGGCTTTAATGAGTGGACTAGAATGAAGAGGTCAGAGGACTGGAGTGGCTTTGCTGAACACTAAGCAATACTGAGCACTGTACGTAAAATATCCAGATAAAGGATATCATCTTTTTCGAGCTTCTTCTTTTCCCTTGAAATAAGTTGGAAAACAGGAGTCAAAAATGTCTGCAGTCCACTGGGCTTTTGTAATCATAAATGGGTGTTCATATTCCCAAATAATTTCAGCTTTTGACAATCAAGATCAGAAATCCTGACCCAGTGAACTCCTGAAAGGCAATGCCTATTTTCTCCTTCACCACATTTTCAGCATCTGGCACAGAGCTTGGCCCTTAAAAAGAGCTCAACCAAAGTTTACAAAATAAATGAATGAATGAAAAGATTCATCATTTATTTCAGACCTAGGGCTTTGTGAAATATGTAGCCTAACAGCATGTACCACAAAACAATTAAGAATCTCACCTTCACCTACAGATATAAATTAATCTTTTACATCAGGGGACATAAGAACTCCACAGAAAGTCCATGCTTGACAAGCTAAAATATAGCGCAAGGGCGGGCAACTTGATAATGTAGAAGAAAGGGCCCAGATTTCTAGGCCCTAAAACTCTTAGTATGTGCTTTTAGATATCTTGCATTTATTTTCATTAGTTACATTAGTGTCACTCCAGATCATGGTTTCCCAATCTTGGCACTATTGACATTTTGAGCCAAATAATTCTTTGTCCTGGTAACTGTTGTATGCACTGTACAATGTTTAGCATTCCCGACCTCAACCCACTAGATGCCCATAGCACTTTCCCCAAGTTGTGACAATGAACAGTATCTTCAGATATTGCCAAACATCCATTTGTCTTTGGAGGACAAAACTGATTCCAGTTAAGAATCACCGTTCTAGATAGATACTATTTTCATGACAGCTGTACACATCACTGACATGGGTTTGAACTTCTGACTCCATTATCTACACTGGCTCTTTACCATGTACCTGATCCTTTGCTTCTATTCTGAAGCAACAACATTTTAAAAAAAATTCAAGTACATGACTTCGCTGTTAAAACTTTAAAGACTCTTTTTCTGTTCTACTCTTCTATTGTACAATGAAGTTGTACAATGAAGTGATATGGTGGAAACCAGGGCCAGGCACCCTTTTCTTTGGTTCTTTGCAGCCTAAATGCCCCACTTTTGCCCCTGGGAATGGTACACAGTTTATTCAAATGGGGAAAAAAGGTCACTGCAGTGACATTTTTCTGGACAATGCATAGAATTTCTGAAAGGAAATGATTTTAAACGAGAAGGATTTAAAGCCTGGATGAAAACATGTGGTAGAAGTCTCTTGTAATTAGTGAGGTGGAATGAAATCCAGGATTGCAATATGGGTGGTGCTGCTTTCCTTTATCCAAAATGTTTAAGGTGGGAAGACCCAGAGGGATGGGATGGGGAAGGAGGCAGGAGGGGGGATCGGGATGGGGAACACATGTAAATCCATGGCTGATTCATGTCAATGTATGGCAAAAACCACTACAATACTGTAAAGTAATTAGCCTCCAACTAATAAAAATAAATGGAAAAAAATAGCCAAATAAATAAAAAGTCAAGCTCAGCTCTATTATGAAAGAAAAAAAAGTGTTTAAGGTGAGTGAGGCAGGTAGTCAGCCAGCTCACCTGTCCTTATGACAAAATTTTGCAAAGAATCTTTCTAACCTGAACTACCTGACACTTACAGTGGGAAGACCTAGGTCTCTGGAAGTGGGCCATCAAGCCTTTCTCTATCTCCCTGCTTCCAGATAAATGAGCATATTCCTCATTCTGGGATGATCTGGGCTGCAAAACATGAGGAGAGATGCATATCCTGGTCACTTGTAACTTGTAACTCTTCCGTTACAAGCTGTGTGACATTAGACAAATCCCTCCAATGTCGTAATCCTCAGCTTTCCACTGGTAAAGTAAGTATATTGATAACGACTGCAATCATATTCCCACAGGACTGCTGTGAGAACAAAATGAAATAGCAAATGTAGACAGTTCCTTAGAATGCTAAAAACATTCTGCAAAATATTCCCGATATTGTTGTGGGAGGATTTTAATTGAATTGTCATATCACCTCTAGGGCTTTTGAGAATCCTTGTGGCCCTGAAAATGGTAACACTATGCACTGAGGCACAATGCCAGGGAGGATGAAGATGTCCACAGTGGGGATCCCATGGCAGGAGAGCAGGTTAGCTCTAAAACAGTCTGAATCTTCGTTCTGTGTGAGCCTATTGTTTTCAGGGAGGTGTAGTGTAATAACTTGGAAGTCAGACCACCTAGATCTAAAACTCGATTCTGTCACTCACTTGCTCTTATTGATGCTGCAACTGAAGTGCCAACACTTTGGCCACCTGATGCAAAGAGCTGACTCACTGGAAAAGGCCCTGATGCTGGGAAAGACTGAGGGCGAGAGGAGAAGGGGGTCACAGAGGATGAGATGGTTGGATGGCATCACTGACTCAATAGACATGAGTTTGAGCAAACTCAGGGAGATAGTGAAGGACAGGGAAACCTGGCGTGCTGCAGTTCATGGGGTCACAAAGAATCGGACACAATTTAGTGAATGAACAATAAGCTCTTACTGACTTAGTCACTTAACCAAGTTTCTGCCTCTTGTGCCTTGGTTCCTTCTTCTGCAAAGTAGGGTAAGAACAGTGCATACCTCAGAGGTTTGTTGTGAGAGTGATAGGAGAGAATGTATGGATCACGTAGTGGTTGAGAGAGAACCTCTAGGTTTGAAACTCAATGGCTCTGCTTCTCAGCCAACCTCATTTCTTGCCTTACTTTCTTCATTCAAAAATGGGGATGGTAATAGTACGTACCTGAGAGGGTTGTTTCACAGGTTAATGAAGTGGTTAGAGAGTGATCGGCACAAGGTCAGCATTCAGTAAATGCTGCTAGCATTATTAAGAAAACATAATATGCATGCATACATGTTAGCACTTATTATGTACCATCAATTATTTTTGTTATTATTGTCATGACCACTCTGAGTCCCAGCTAGACCGCTCACTGGCAATTTAAGGACACTACATGTAGCCCAAGCTATAGACTTTGGAGTAATCATACACTCCCAAGTCCCTGGACAAATCCCATTGCCTGAGTATTACAAACTCACTTGTCACCAGCAAGAAGATGAAACCATGCCTCATTATGGAAGCACTGGAGGATGGAGAAGCCAGTAAGATGCCCAAGGATACACAACTAGGCACTAGAGCAAACTGGCACCCAGCTCAACTCTCCATCCATAAGAAGCTCTTTTCTTCCCCACCAGCTAGGATCTGCACACTTTCTATACTTTTCCAAATGGGGCAAGCCTCAGCAGAAAGAAACACTTACTGGCATCAAGACGGCAGAAGACCCCGGCATTGTAGGGTTGGGCAGGGTCCCAGGCATGGAGGCTGGCATGGGCTGTCTCTGTCTGTTGTGAAGATGGAGCAGAGAAGATAGAGAGCCTGGGACAGGCCTGGGAACAAAAACAAGAAAAGAAAAGAAAAAATAGCAAACATTATTCCTGATACTCCAGGCAGGGGATTCACTGCCAGTTTTTCAAGTCCAGAACCAGTGGGGACAACACCATTACATGAGCAGCAGATCAGATTCCCTGATGGGAGCCACATAATTGAGGATATTAGGGAAATAATAACAAATAAAATACAAGCCTGGCTTCCTTTGCTGCTTCCTAGTTAATACATCAAATTCCACTTCATTTCCTGACCTCTGTTATCTAACTGATATTCAATAGACAACAAGCCAGTAAATCTCCTACAACCCTTGCATCTTAGGAAAGAGAAGGGACCTGGTAGTGAAATCCTACATGTTTACTCTGAGGTCTCTGCCCTCTGGAGGATCTTAGAGCCTGAGACCTGTGTACATTTGTTTTATAACATTCTCCCATACTTCTGCCTGGAAGCCTGCCTGGCTTTCCTCTGGATATACTTTCACTATTTGGATTTGCAGAGCCAACTTCATTCATAATTTCCCAATAGAAATCTGTTTTGACTTTTTCATAATTCTCCACTTTGAGTGGGAAAAAAACACAAAGCCAGGTCACAAACCAAAGTAGCTAGATCGCGATTCACAAGATACAATAAGTCTTTCTTGGGGCGAGTCTGGGGCCCAGCCCCCAGTTACTGACCCCTCATTTTGTAATAACTCAAGGTGTTAGACTCTTTGACAGAAATTGATTTCAGCCTGATCTGCAGGTCTTGGGTAAGCTTTCCTTGGGGGAGTACATAGTTCTTTTGCTTCAATTTGCCAGAAAAAATTTTAAGAGCCTTAAATTGATTTAGTGAGCCAGGGAATGTGGGGCTGAGGGAGAAGGGGAATTATTTGTGTTTATTAAAAATGGCAAACAAATAACCTCCTTGGCTCAATTCTCAATCTCCTGATGCTCTTACTCTGGGGAGCCATAAATGTCAAACCATTGAAGTAATGACTTAACAAACAAAACAAACAAACAAACAAACACCCCTCAGAACCTCTGAGTCTTCCATGTTACAGCATCTTATCCTGAATGTCATGATAGAAAAACAGTGCTTCCCAAATTGATGTATTTTCTAAAAAAAAAAAAAAAAAAAAAAAAATCTCTTGAGCTAAGAGCTGGGTAAAGATTGCAGAGAGATGTTCTCTGAAGGGCAAAGCCTTCCTGTGTTTCAGGGAAGGACAGCATGAAGAACCTCTTCTTTGGAGCACATGTGCCTCCCATGGATGACTCACACAGCTTGAACTGGGGGAAAGAATGCCAAGATATTCTTCCTTTACATTGCTGTTACAATTCCAGAGAAGATTAAGTTTTCCATTCTTTTCGTCTGAAATCTCCCTTGGAAACACAGCTAGCTATCACAGTCACACATATCACAGAAGGATTAGTCCTAAGTTAGTCCTAGATTTATATGTTTAGGAAGTTGTGTATATGAAAATATAAGAAAATATAAAAGTTTTACACAGAGTTTATGGAGATGTACACAAATTACAACCAGTTCTATTAACAGGATGTGTGTGAGTGGTTACATAGATAGGCTAAGGTGAGAAGCTTGTAACAATGACATGGGTGTTTTCAGAAAAGCAAATATAGTACTATGGATATTTCTTGACATGTACACTTGGGACCTCTGTAGTACAGATGAACAGTAAGGATTAGTAAGGCCTTTGACGGCCCTTCAGTTTTTATAAGCCTAGGAAATGGCTGCTTTCAATCATTCCAAATTTCTATACTTGTAATATCACTGAGTCTTAAAGTCTCTGATACTTAGAGTTCAAGTCAGAGAAGTATAAAATGCTGCTTGATCAACAGACAACTTTTGCTTTATATTCTCCAGTTTTAATGTTTTGTTTGGGACCTTTGCTAAAAAGAAAACAGCTATATATCAAATTATAGCATGTTTAATAATGGTCACTTCTTCTAAGTACAAGATTAATAATCTGAACTCCCCAGTTTCATAATGAGACCCTACAGATAGTTAAATATATATCCATCCATTCATTTAAAAATATCCAGATAGATAGATATAGATATCTATATACATGCATACATATCATACATAAATCTATATATACATACATACAGTCTTCAACCATATGTCTGCCTCTCTAGTCACCAGGGTAACAATTTGAACATAGACAGTTAGGGCTACTTGAAAACTGTTATCAAAAACAACTAAAAATATTTGATTATGTCAATGTGAAGTATCATCCTTATAAGCAAGGGCAAAACATTACCATCATTTATATTTTGTTTCCAACATATTAATGATAATCCTGGTTATCAGCTTTTATTGATGGTCTATTTTTTAAAGAAATCAATTAAACAACTTAATGGTGATGAAAATGAATATGCAAAAGCAATTAAATTTAAAACAAGTTTTCATTCTTCTCCCAAACTATGGGAAACTCCCAGTTGTATAAGAATAATTGGGGAATAGTATGTTTCATTTAATTCAGTGTTCTTATTATGTCAGTTATTTCCACACCATGCATAAATCTCCTAGATTTTTAAATATTAAATATTCCTTCATTAATTAAGAAAAATTTTCAGGGTATGAGGTTCCCCTGGACTATAATTACCAAAGACACCAATCAGACAAATTGGCAAACTACAGTGGAAGGGAAAATGGTTGTTTGGGAATCCTGTATGTTTGAATTCTGAATAATTCTGAATTACTGTTTTACACAGATTCTGTAAGTAATTTCCCCAACCCCACCGACAAAATCGATAGAATTTCCTAGACTTCTTACATAGGCTTTTAAAACTAAAGAAACGGCAACAGCAACAACAACAAAACCCTATGCCTACCCAGTCACTAGCTATACAAAGGCCTGGAATGAGTTAATTATGTAGCTTGGCCTGAGAAATAATCATTTGTCCAGAATATTTAGATCACTGAAGCAAAAGTGGTATTGGAATACTTGCATTGCTTAAGTCCCTTCATACATATAAAAATAGTTATTATTTAATACAGTCATAAAATTTTTATATTGCACTTATACATTGCTTCATGTTTTTCTAAATATTTTCACCTTCATGGGACTTGAAACAATGCAATGTGGTAGGTAGGTCCTATTACTCCCATGTTACTCAGGAGTAAAATGAATTCAGAAACATTTAAGTTTGCCCAAGGTCATATGGGTCATGAAAAAAAGTACGATTTACACTCAACTTACAATAGAGGGCTTCCTCCATCACACCTTGATGCCTCCCATAACTAAGGTATTATTGATTTTTTTATACTAAAATAAATCAATGGCCCATTTCCTTTGATATTCACACTGCTCCCTGAACTTTCCAGTGAAGTAGTAAAATTATGCTAAAATGAGAAGTCACTCATCCATGTGAAATTTTGTTTTATTCCTTTAAAGAAAAAAAAACTTCCCAAACAACACATCAGCAAGTCTCTGAAAATAAGATGGCAAATTGTGGTAAAGTTGTGAAAACAAAGACTCAACAGTTTTGCTCCAGTGCAGGCTTGTTGCCATGAGCTAATAATTCTAGACTTTGAGCAAGCCGAGCCTCCTTTTTAATAAGCATATGCCTCTAGGTAAAGAATTTCTACTAAAAATTATTGAGGCATGGAACAAGGTAAGATGTGTGAGCTCATGTTGGATTGTTCAATTATGAAACTGAGTCCTGTAGCATTAAGAGTTTTCCAACTTGACAGATTATTCTTCTTTTATACACTTGTATAAACATACTGCTTACGGTTGAAATCTATGTAAGATTTTCTTTCAATTAAGATGTCAGGGATGACAGACTGTTTTCATTGTCCTTAGCAGAATGATAGGTACCACAGCAAGAGATTTCATGTACTTGTTTTTCCCTGCAAAGGATGTTATCCAGTCTAGGAGTGTCAGTAAAGTCTGCTGGTCTTCCCTGCCCTTGTGCAAGCCCACTATCTTGAAGGAGCTAAGGGCCATTGTTTGTGTTTGCAAGATCTCAGGACAGTCACAGCAGACTGTTCTTCTTTCCCAGTTCTTCACCAGATCCATTACCTCCTGGGATCAGTTATTAAACTCTTAAGACAGGCAGATAGCCCAGGTATGTGGACAGGCAAAGGAAAAAAATAAATAATGGAAAAAATTAGGTTGGAAAATTGGAAGAGCAATATCAGCATCAAAGTCAGGGCACAGCCATCTAAGAAATCTTGAGCAGATAAAAAACAAAACAAAGCAACAACAACAAAAGAACCTGGTGTTGGGGGTGGGGAGCAGACTGTAAAAAAACAACAACTTGAAAGCAATAAAATGGCAGAAATGGAGGGCAAGGAGCAGGAGATACAGATGCCATTGCTATTGGAGTTTCTGATTCTGGAGAAGAAACTTTCTTAATTAACTTTTAGGCTTTCCATCTCATCATCTGTTTAATGAATGGATCAGACTACAGGCCATCTGGAAACCCCCTGAAGCTCTAAAATTCAGATTCTAGGACTCGAACTGAAAGTGATATGTTCTTAATCTAGTGAGGCTACATGTTTTATTATGATAAGGGTATTCTTTACTGCTTACTGGTGTGTCCACAGCCCTTAGCCTGGCACCTGGCACAAAGTAGGTGGTCAGTGTATCCATATTAAATGAAATTGAGCGCATACAGTGCTTAGTTCTTAAATTCCAAATAGAAGGTGTCCCTAAAAAGTGAGAGAAATTCTTGAAAATGGACCCAATCCATTCTATGGAGCCCACACTTCATTCTCATTTAAATACAACACGAGTTCATACACAGGTTAGAGAAAGCTTGCTGCCCACTATCTTTGTATTTGCTAATGAAAAGAAAGGTGTGATTCTTTTGAATCTTCTTAAATGAACTGTTGTGGCCTAATTTACCACACTAATTTCTGTCTGGGATACAGAGACTGAAGAGTTAAAGAGGGGAATGCAAAACTCTTAAATCTAGAGAGAAGGCAGTTTGTAGTGAGAAATATTTATTCTTCTCCTAAGTGAAATTTTTTAAAGAAATATAAATTCCTGTTTTGT